GCATACACCCAGCAGCGCTGCTGATGCCTGAACGGTATGTGGAATGAAGTGGGCGGGCATCGTGAGGCCACTATGGCACGGGGCAAGCACTATGGGCAGTCTATCTGAAGTGTACCCGGCGTATAAGATGACCCCCCACTTGGAGGCATATTTTTCAGGGCCAAAAAATCGTCTTATACGCCGGCAAATACGGTACCTCAGTTGCAGGCTCTTCCCCAGCCCCTGGCCTGGGCTCTTGCAGGAGGCAACCGATTGATGTGTTTCTCTCACATAGATATTTCTCTGTCTTTCCCTCTCTCCCACTTTCTCTAAAAAATCAATGGAAAAATATCCTCAGGTGAGGAATAAAAAAAAAAAGTAAGTCTCCTTTAAATGCTACTCAGTTTGTGGGCTTATATACAAGATTTAGCTAAATAAAAGTTAATAAAGTTAGAGTACTTAACTGCCTGATGCCTAACTAGCACAATGTTTATCAATTTTTATTTATCGTTCTGACGAAAGAAAGAGTTTAAAATATGTGCTGAGCTAACCCTAGGATGTTGAGTGTCAAAGGGATTTTTGAGGACAATTAGGTGGCCCCAGGATGTTGCAAAGTGTTGGTTCATAAACAGAGTATGACCCACAGACATTTGGCCAGAGCAAAGGAGTGACTGTCCCCTTTGGACAGGATGTGTATTCTCCAGCTCACCTCAGTTCTTAAACCTGTTTGAGCCAGATGTTAAATAAATTTGCAAAGTCATACCACTCTTCTCACTAATTTTATTTTGTTCTTTGGAAAATATAATTATTTCATTAAGATATATTATCTTAGCCAAAGCCGGTTTGGCTCAGTGGATAGAGCGTCGGCCTGCGGACTGAAAGGTCCCAGGCTCGATTCCGGTCAAGGGCATGTACCTGGGTTGCAGGCACTTCCCCAGTGGGGGATGTGCAGGAGGCAGCTGATGATGTTTCTCTCTCATCAATGTTTCTAACTCTCTATCTCTCTCCCTTCCTCTTTGTAAAAAATCAATAAAATATATTTTAAAAAAAAGATATATTATCTTAACATGCAATCGTTTATTGTGGTTAATTTTAAATGAATTAAATATTTTTTTAAATCTCTTTTAATTTCTAGTTCAGTATATATCAATAGCTATAACCCACATCAACAAAGGCTCTTTGAAGTCCTCAGTAATTTTTAAAAGTATAAAGGGGTTTGAGACCAAAAAAGTTTGAGAATTAATGTTCAAATGGAATAAATGCTTATTGTCATTAATCAGTATAAAGTACAATTATTCTGATATTTATATGTATATTCCAACTCCTGCTTGGAATATTTTAAGATTGCCTAATAGATATTAACCAATCCAAAGTTTTTTATTTAGTAAGATATTTCTGGTGCCTTCTTTATAATTAAGTCAAATCAAATTATCCTATAATGTCAGTACTGCTGTAATAACAAAAAGCTGACATTGCCCTCTGTGGTGCTCAGTTACTGTTCCAAAGGCTAACCTAAAATAAGTTTGTTTAACTGACTCTTTCTGTTGTTGTTCAATTGTGTATATAGGCTTTGCACACTTTTATTAAAGTATTTGAATGTATAACCTCATGGGAATATATGTTGGAAGTATAGGATTCATTGCTAATATATTTTCTCCTACTTCACAAGTAGGACTCAAACATCAGAAAAATATACCTTGAATTCATCACCTGTTTTGAAACTAATGACAATGAGTTTGTGATAATCTGGTTGTTAGATGAAGAGATAACATTTCTAGCCACAAGGATGTTCTTTGCCAAAGTTTACAAGAGGAATAGTCATACCAGAAGTAGATAATCCAGCCTGACTTAAATTTTATCTGACACAAGAAAGCAGCACATTTATCTTACCAAAAAAAGCAACTTCATTCAATAATGAAGGACTTAGCTATGGAAGTTATTGTACTTGCCATTGTTAATTTGACTTGAACAAATTTAATAATATTAAAAAACGCAGACACAGTTATTAGTCACTTGGGGAATACCATTAAGTGAGATTCCCACTTTCAGAGATTCTGCGATCCATATTGCAATCAGGTGTCATACAACTGAAGCCCTGAAGAAGGTGAGGGAGCATGACTGATGGATATCTGGGGAAGGGTGTTTCAGGCAGAGGGAATAGCAAGTACAAAGGCCCAGAAGTAGGACCTTTGCCTACAGTGTGGTTGATGTGGGCCCTGAGTATATGGTTATTGTTTTGTTTTGCTATGCAAATAGTAAGAGAGGTAAAAGAAGGCAGGAAATAAGAAAAGGGGGGAAAAAATCACCCATAATCTTTGTACCAAGAGGTAACCACTGTTGCTATCTTGGTCTGTTTCCTCTCCAGTTTAAGCTTAAGATGTCACTTAGCATGTGTATTAGTTTACTAGGGCTGCATAACAAAATACCAGACTGGGTGGCTTAAACAACAGAATTTATTTGCTCAAGGAGTAAAAAAAAATCAGTGTCAGTAGGTTTGGTTGCTTCTGAAGCCTCTCCCATTGGCTTGCAGATGGCTGCCTTCTCACTGTGTCCTCATCACATGGTCTTTACTCCATGCAAAGGTGCATCCTTATTGTCTCTGTGTGTCTAAGTTTCTTCTTCTAAGGACATCAGTTAAATCAGATTAGCACCCATCCTAATGGTCTCACTTTAACTTAATCCGTTCTTTAAAAGCACTGTTTCGAAATATGGTCACATTCTGAGGTGCTGGGAGTTAGGGCTTCAACATGAATTTAAGAGGACATATGTCAGCCCATTGCACCATCTGTGATCAGGTATTC